CGACATGCAAAGCTTCCTAAACAAGTTTCCAACATATCTCACTGCCCCTGAAGCAGCAAGCAGCACCAGCCGTCCTGACCTCTCCTTGCAATTTGCCTTAAACATTAACGGAAAACCCCTCCATCTCCATTCCAACCCAACGGTCTCCCCCTTTCACCCCTCTACCTGCATGGCCTTCATGACGTGAAGGTTGGGCACATTCTTGTCTGCCAATTCTGGGTGTTTAGGCATATGGACATCCTTCTTGGCCACCATCACTCCCTCCTTAAAAAGGAGCTCATAAATAGCAATCCGGTTCTTCTTGGGCATCAACATCTGCAAGAAGGAAGCGATCGTCAAGAGCACGTAGGAGCAATGGGGCCAGGGGCCAGTAATCAAGTGCACGACTTGAACCACACAAAACCACCACCCAGTGGGTTGAAAACTCAAACACAGCCTAGAAAACATGCAGAAGGAGGACTACAAACTACAAAACAAACTCGGACACCAGCTCCCTCCCTCACCCCCAAAAGCAATTCAGATGAACAAAAGGCTGCAAAGACGTCCAAACGAAACGGGGATAGGGGTGCGTATCTGCTCCAGACTTCCATAAGCGCTCACAACCACAGAGGTATACGGGGCAGGCGGGAGGGAAGAGACCCTGTGTTCTCAGCGTAGACGGGGCCATGAGCGGCCGTACCTCAAGGTACGCACGGAGGGCCAGGAGGAGTAAAGCCCTCGCTTCTTGACGAGCCGCTGGTCCCGAACCGAAGGGCTAAGGCCTTCGCACCCTCATTTCCTACCGCTCCTCCCCCAAACTAGAGGGCCAGGCCAGGAGACAGTCCGAAGGAGTCCTGTCCCGAAGAAAGAGCGTGCAGACGGTACGCTGTCTCGGCCACGCAAGTGCTTCATCCTCCCTTCCTCCTCCCTCGGCCATCCGGACGCCAATCTTTGCTTACTAGCGGCCCCCTACCCCCTGAAATACGCCCCCCATCCCTTGTCGCTGCCCAGGAATGGGTGTGCGGGGAGGGTAAGAGAAGGCCCCCGCCCTGACCCTGGGGAGGAGCGGCCGCTACGGCAGCAGGCTGGCCCGGATGGGGGCCGATGGAACCCGAACTCCAGAGGACCTCACCGCGGTGGCTGCAGGATCCGGGGCCGAGGCTGGAAAGGAAGGGGCATGCGCGGCGCGGCGTCTCTTCCGGGCTGGCGTGGCCCCGCCCTCCGCCAGGACCCGCGCGTGCCTGGGGTGGCCTCGGCGGTGCCTGAGGGTCGGGTGGCTCTGACCCCCGACCCTGACAGCCTTAGGGGCATACGCAGGAGCGGACCGCAGCGTGTTTCTTTTGAGCCTGTGTGCTACATCAAAAAATGGTCACTTATGTTTGGGCTGCCCCTTGAGAAACACGCTTCTTTTTTTCCCGCCAAAAGCTGAACTTGTTATGCTAGTAGTATATGCTCTTTGAGCAGGAAACGAGAGAGAACATACAGATAATGACAATAGTAATAAAAGAATAAAAGAATCGCATCAACCAGAAAAACTCTTCCAAAGTCATATGCACCCACACAAATACATTTTTTGACAAAAATAGGATGTTTTGTATATGTAGTATGTACGATAGTGTCTGTAAGCTGGTATTTTTTTTTTACCAATATGTCGTGATTCTCTTTTCGTGTTAATAACTATAATGTTAATGACTGCGTAATAGTCCACTGGATATTAATCACCCTATGATTAGGTTTATATTTTAAAAATCTTTCACTATTATAAGTAACAATGCTACACATATACTAGCACCCTTGCCCAGTATTTTCCTGAGGGTAAATTCCTGGAAGAATAATTGTTGAGTAACAAAGCATGCATGTTTAGGTCTTTGACACATGCCACGTTGATTTGCAGGAAGGCTTTATCAACTATACTTGTGTCACCAATTATCGATATTAACAAGGCTTGCTTCCTTATTAGCCTTACTGACATTGAATAATATCTGTCACTCTTATACACATTTGCCAGTCTAACAGATAAGAAATGTTAATCTCACTATTCTTTTAATTTGCATTTCTTCAATTACTACTGTGATTAAATATTTTTCTTTTTCTTTTCTTTTTAGAATTTGTGTTCATTCTGTGAAAGTTGTCAGAATCAAAATGAAGTCACTCGTGATAAAAACCCTGACAAACAGAGCTGGGGAAGGCCATGAAGGCGAGGTTCTTATGCACAAATGCCTGATAACAAGAACTATCCCAAAATACTCTGCAAAAAGCACAACCTTGCACAAAGGCATCGAAACCTTACAGAAAGAAATACTTCTGGGAGAACATCTGCCCAGCAACTGCCTTTCCAAGCTCAGATTGGTGCCATCCTTGTTATTGATCCTTGTAGCCAAG